ACGTGAGATGAAGTCTGACCATTCTTGCTTCCAAGGAATATGCTGGCTGCACTTCCTCCAGAACAGATTTGTTCATTCTTCTGGCAGTCCATGGTATTTTCAGTATTCTTCATCAACACCACAATTCAAAGGCATCAGCTCTTCTTGGGTCTTCCTTATTCACTGTCCAGCTTTCACATGCATATGAGACAAATGAAAATACCATGGCTGGGGTTAGGCGCACCTTAGTTTTCAAAGTTACATCTTTGCTTCTTAACATTTTAAAGAGATCTTTTGCAGCAGATTTGCCCAGTGCAATATGACATCTCATTTCTTGACTGCTGCTTCTGTGGATGTTGATTGTAGATCTGAGTAAAATGAAATCTTTGACAAGTTCAATCTTTTCTCCATTTATCGTGATGTTGCTTATTGGTCCAGCTGTCAGGATTTTTGTTTTCTTTATGTTGAGGTGTAATCTATAAAAACTGTAGTCTTACAAGATTAACTAACACAAATCACCATTTTAAAATAATTTTTCTTTCTATTGTATAAACTATGGCAATATGGATGATTATGGAGCTTTATTCTATTATTTGGCTTATTTGAATTAGAACATGACATAATCAGAAACTCTATAATCTATACTTACTTAAAACATTTGCACCAGAGGTAGGATGTTCCTCCACAAGTTCCACAAAGTTAAGGGGGAAAATCCCAGTTCTGTCTCGAAGTTCACCTCTGGCCCATTCCTCATTCACATACTCTTTAAGAATAATAATTTCTCCCTCTGAGAAACTTAACTCATCCTTCTGGTCTCCAATGTATTCAAACCGAGCAACACATTTTGAGCCTCTGAACAAAGAAGAACACATTTGTGGGTTAAACAAGAGAGTAATTAACTTTCAAAATGGTTTTAAAACCTCCATTTGGTCTTTCAATAAACATACGAGACATAATTTTAAATTTTCCATGACAAAGAATAAACAACACTACTCAACAACAGTCCCTACTTTTGAAATAGGAACCTGTTCATTCAGAAAATTTAAAGGTCAAGGTCATAGAGTTCAATGCAGATTCCAAATGTGCAGCTGGTGGTCAGTTTACACTGCCATGTCTTTCCATCACCTTTACTGCATCACAGAATCGCCTCAGTTTTCATGTCTTTGTATCCTTAGGCCACAGCAACCCAGGCCCAGCCCCCTTCACCACAATGCATTGAGTTTGGGAGTGCTAACCCTGAGAATCTCAGGGCAGGAAATCAAACCGCCATGGCAGAACACAACAAATATTAGTTGGGCACAGAGAAGATGCTCACTATACGTTGAATCAATCAGCGAGCTGAGTATACAGGTAAATGGCTTTCAAAACTAGGAGAAGGTATGAAGAAAACAGAAACTTGGCCTATCATCTCATACCACTTAATCCTATACCTAACACTGTTGCTTTTAAAAATGATTTTTGTATCTCCTTTAAAAAAGGCTTCATTTCTGAGAACTAGAATGATCCTTAAATGATTTGCAATTTTGACTGAAAATAAGATAAAAGCTGAGATAATATTGTGTCTCTGGAAGGCATGATTTAATACCAAACCTTTGATTTGAGGAACACAGGCTTTAGAAAGGAAGTTTCAATAGAAACAGGCTAAGGAGAAGCAATTGCCTGAAGAGAAAAAGCTGGCCCTGGCTCCAATCACATTCTGATTTAAGTCAGGTCAATGGATCAATGCCTGTGAGAGCCCACTTTAAATTCAATCTGCTGACACAGTAAATACGGCTTAAAAATAGGAGAAAAATTGAACCTGAAATAGAACCCAACTGTTTTGCATCGGAAGTTTTCTTATTTGTGATAACCTTTGCATTTATTTTCTAAAGTCCTCTGGGAGCATCTCCTTATGTCTGACCTATTCTGAGACAGGTTTACAGTCTTCAGCAGGTAGTGAATTCTATTAATTTGCTCATTTAACTATAATATAAAGTTTCATTGTGGCAGAGTTTTAAATCACAAAGGAGTTACAGTGATACATAAAAGGGTATAGAAATTCACATAAAGGCCCGCAGACATAAAGGCAGACTGCTCTAACTGAACTCTTTCTTCATGTTCTCCTAGTTCCTCTTGAAAACAAAACAATACAATAAAAAGTGTTTAGCAGTTTTTATAAGATTTATGTTTCTATAAGGTTTAAATATTTTCCATGACAAAAATATCTAAACCTTCTAGCAACTACTTGGTAGATCACAAGAAAGCCAAAATGAAATGCACTGGATAATGTTATGGATTGAATTGTGTCACCTAAAAATCTGTGTTAGAGTCCTGACCTCTATATCTGTGGATGTAATCCTATTTGAAAATAGGGTTTTCTTTGTTTTGTTAATGAGGCCATAGAAGTGTAAGATGTATCCTCAGCCTAATAATTTCTGAGTTATAAAAAGAACGGATTAGTAGATGCAGAAGTAAGCGCAAATTGGGAAGACAGACACCATGTGAAGATTGTCAAGGAACTGAGTAACACTGGAACTATAGAAGCTGAAACAAGGATCTTCCCCCAAGCTGGCAGACAGAGGGCCTTCCCCTACAGCTGGGCCTTGAACTCAGACTTCTAGCCTCCTAAGCTGTGAGGAAATAAATCTCTGCAGCCCTAGGAAACTAAGACAGATGACAAAGCCATCTCTGCTCAAGGTGAGGCCAGGCTGTGGGAAGCATCTGGATGGACCCCATCGTGTTGCTCTCTGTATGACCTATATTGCGATGGAGAACTTATGCTCATGTCAGCTTCTCCCAGCATGTTGCATTTTCATCAGAATTTTAGCTCTGGCGGTGTAGTGCCTAACGCATTTGACCGCTAACCCTAAAGCTGGTGGTTCAAACCCACCAGCCACTCCTCAGAAGGAAGATGGGGCAATCTACTTCCGTAGAGATACCGCCTCAGAGGGGTTGCTATGAGTTGGAAACGACTTGACAACAGTGCGTTTTTTTTTTTTTTTTTTAAAGGCTGTTTAAACAAGCAAACTTTCCCTTATAATTCAAAAGACACACTGAGAATCTGAATAATCACATATTTGAGGTGTTTAAGCTTGGTGATTCTTTATGATATAAACATGTGTTGTTATAGATTGAATTGTGTTCCCCAAAAATGTATGCTGTAAATCCTAACCTCTATGCCTGGTTATTTTCCCATTTTGGAAGAGGTTGTCTTGTTATGTTAAATAAGACAGGATAAATGTAGGGTGTGTCTTGAGTCAATCTCTTTTGAGATGTAAAAGAGATTAAACAAGCAAGTGAAAGAAGCAGAGATGGGGAAAGAGAGATGCCAAAGCACATGAAGATCACCCAAGAGCAGAAGCTCAAAGAGACAAGGACTTTCCTGCAGAGCCGATAAAAAGAGAAAGCCTTCCCCTAGAGCTGGCACCCTGAATTCGCACTTCTAGCCTCCTAAACTCGAGAAAATAAATTACTGTTTGTTACGGCCATTTACTTGGGGGTATTTCTGTTATGGCAGCACTAGATAACTAAGGCACTTGCCTCCTTCATATTTTGTGGAAAAGAGCACAAAACTTACTTAACACAATGAGATGAAACTGGTCCTCTTTTCCCATTTCCTCCTTCTGGAATATCAATCTAGGAAAGACAAAAATCAAGGGAATAATGATATTTTTTTCAGAGTTTAATATGACAGATTTAATTTTAAGTAAAAAGGAAATGCCTGTGTTGTATAAATGGTTAACACACTCAGCTGCTAACCTAAAGGGTGCTTGTTCAAGTTCACCCAGAGGCATCTCAGAAGAAAGCCATGGTGATCTACTCCCAAAAAATCAGCCACTGAAAACCCTATGGTTTACTCTGACACACATGAGGCTGCTGTGAGTTAGAGTTGCCTTGAGTCAACTGGTTTAATGATATTGAAATTAACCAGGTTAGCTAGGTGTTAACTTGATTAAGTGGTACCATTTGTGCAGAGTCTTACCCTGAATTTTGGTTTTGAAAAAAATTTGTAACTTATGATGTTGCATTCCTCGTACACGAGCCCATTAGTCTTCTTTTTATTTGCTGGAACAAGTACATTAATATGATTTTATCCCTGATTGAGCTTTCTCTATGCCATGTCTTCCAAGGTGAAAATGTCAAATGAGAACTTAAGTTAGCAGCTAGGCTTTGGCATTTGTGCTAGCACACATCAGTACCATCACGTCTACTCAAGTGCTAGAAGAACTACAAAATACTTCCCTGACTCCAAAATAAAACATTTTAATCTAACTTGAGGATTTCTGTCCATATTCATAAATCTGAAACTCATAACTAAAGCATCTACTATCTTTTTCCTTCAATGGGAATAGAGAAGGCATACTTAGTAAGCATCTACTAAGTGGCAAGCACTTTATATAATATTTCATTTTCAAGGTTCAGCAGGGTTGGGTTATATAAAATATTTGGTCATGATGTACACAGTTGGAAAACTACTTAAGGCTTTAAGGTTTATATTAAACAAATCAGTACTTTCTTGATGAATTCTAAAAATCTGAAGTTTTAGAACAATTTTTCAAACTTGTGGGATTAGGAATAACACTCATACCAATAATGTGACAAATTCAGCATGATTGATTTCAGTGTGGTAATTATGCTGTTAAAAGTACGGTGACCCTGGGCAGAAGAAAAATGAGGAAGAGTGCTAAAACTAAATTATTTTTAATATTAATTTAAAGAGTGTGGCTGGATTTCTCCAAAGAATAAGGGCATATATACACTAGGCAATTTTTAAGACTCACATATTTTTTATAATCTAAGAGACTCAAACTCATTTATATTTGAAAAATAGTGGTTCCACTGTTATACTTGTTTTTTAAGCTTCTGATGTAATGGAAAATTATTTGCTGTTTCTTCCAAATAAGCTGCTAATGCTTAACTATTTTAAGTTGGCTTTACTGATATTTTTCAGTATCAATAAATTGTATCAGGGACTGAGTTGTACTCTTCCTGTTGCTATTAATGTTCAAATGACAGTCTGGTTTTAACCTCATAGTTCATAGCCACCTAGGCTTAGCACTTTAGGGATTCATCATACTGGTCAGCTTTCATAGGTTATCTGAATTTTATAGGTATAAAATTCTCATGCTTTAGTTTTTTTTTTTTTTCTCTTTTTAATTGTGATTTGGGTGAAGATTTACATAGCAAATTCACTTTCCATACAGCAGTTCACATATACTTTGTCTCATGTCATTGACCACAGTTTACCACAATGCAACAGCTCCCCTCCCACTTCCTCCCCATAGTTACCTCTTCCCAATGTCCATCCCTCCATACTCTCCTGCCCCCTGAACTGTCTCCCTGTGCATAAGCAGCCATTCTTTCTCCCATGATTGTTCTCTCCAAGGCGTGTGTATACTTAAGGTAAATGTTTAACTCACATGCCTGTACTTTGTTTGGCTGGAAACCACAAGTGTGGGTTCAATTCCAGACCTGAAGGGCAGCTAGGGGCCATAGTCTCAGTGGTTCCACCAGGATCTATTGGACCAGCAAACCTGGTCCCCAGCTTTTTTTTTTTTCCTCCAAATGATTTTGAGTTTTGTTCCACATTGTTCTTCCTCTCTATCCAGGATCTCCTACTTAGATCCTCTTCCAAGTGGATGACAGTGGTAGCTAGGCACCATCTAGTTCTTCTGGTCTCATAGTCATATAGGCTGCAGATTGGATGGTGTACCAGTTGCTAGGACTAATTGTTTCCATTAATTTTGGTTTTCTTCTTTCTTCTTTGCTCTTGACGAGGAGAGACCCATCGTTGCATGCTTTAGTTTTGAAGTTATTTTGTGAAAAAACATTAATGGACTACCAGCTCTAATAAAAGTGCTTCAGTATTTCCAAATATACATGTATTTGTAGAAGGAGATAGGGATAGAATGGAAGAAATAAACCAAACACAAGGTACACTCCAAAGCAAATGAAAAGTGGTACCACAACCTTAGAGAACATTTATTTTCCTTTTGGACTTTATTTTATTTATTTTTCAAAATGCATTTTATTGAAATATAATTTATGTACAGTGAAATACACAAAACTAAAGTGACATGGGCCAATGCAATTTTTTTTTTTTTGCAGTGTTCCCTCCCCTCCCCTCCCACCCCTGGCAACCAACAAAGAAAGTTGTAAGGATTCAAAATGGCTGTGTCCTTGGTCACTTTAAATATTCAAAATGGTCACCACTTGTAAACATTTAAAATGGCTGCACCCTCGGTCACTTTAAATATCCAAAAGGCCACTGCTTGTAAACATTCAAAATGGCTGAGCCCTCGATCATTTTAAATATCTAAAATGGCTGGCATGTGTAAACAATCAAAATGGCTGTGCCCTCTGGATAGCGGAAAGTCAACAGCTTAGGTTGTCTCCCACCTTGCTGCTTCCCTTCCTAGTCACAGGCCACCAGTGCAGTCATCCCTGCAGCCCTTGGTGACCAGGGCTGATCTTTTTTAGGTTAATTCTCAGGTCCCAACACCACTTAGAACTATTCAGGCTGTTGGTCCTGTCTGAGTAGCTGACGGTCTGCAGCTCAGACCTTCTCTGTACTCACTGTTTTCTTTCAGGTTTTCCCACTAGATGGTGCCTAATTCACGTCTATGTTATTGTTGTTATGTGCCCTCCAGTTGGACTCGACTCACAGCGACCCCTCCTTGGGTTTCTGAGGCAGTATCTCTACGGAAGTAGATTGCCCCATCTTCCTTCCGAGGAGTGGCTGGTGGGTTTGAACTGCCAGCCTTCTGGTTAGCAGTCAAGTGCCTTAGGCACTGTGCTACCAGAGATCCCTAATAGTTCCTTTCAAAGCTCAGGGCTCCAGGATTATCTTCTGTATCTCTGTCAATTGGTTTTTCTTTTCTTTGTTGATGAGGGTCTGTGTCACTTATCTGCCTATTCCTCCATCTTACCGGAAGTCTCAGAGAACATTTCTTAAAGGAAATTTATTGTGTGTTGTTAGCAGTTGTCAAGTCAGCCTCAACTCATGGTGACTGCATGCACAATGGAAGAAAACATTGCCTGGTCCTGCGCCATCTTCATGATGGGTTGAGGATCGGACTGCTGTAATCCATAAGGTTAAGGACAATTTAGGACAATGTTTCAAAGAATTAACATGTATCCTTAAGTGCTTGAAAACCCTTCAAGAATAGTTGCTTTACCAGTAGACCCTCTGGTGGTATTTCATCTTATGATTTCAGACACCACTGAGGTATTAAGTTCTTATACCTTGTAATACAATAATAATTAACCATTATCTGTTTGAACAAGCCTTTCTTTTTTAAATTTTCCTAACATCAAATGGATCCATGAAAGAGAGAACTAGAATCCAGAATCTATACACTTCTGATTGCTTTTTCCAACCTGCAAGCCACATAGAACCCACTCTCCTTTTTCACTGAGTACATGATCAATTAAAACAAACACTACTCACAATTACTTTGACGTAGTTGGCAGGAAATAGACCGGTCTGGTTTCTACATTTCCCTTTATACCAATCTGTATCTATTTTTTCCAGAAGATAAACAATTTCTCCAGAAGTGAGATTCAAATCATCAACTTGCTCTGTAATATAAATTTAAAATTACATAAGACAAATTATCCTGGCTGCAGATTTGATTAGAACAGTACACAAGGTAGCATTTAGTGAAGTCCACTAAAGCACAGTATGTTCAACTGATTCTGAGAATAGATTATACTAATCAAACTGAATTTTTAAAAATACTATTCTTTTTTTGAGTATATTGTTATTAGTTCCCTTTTTAACAACCAACTTAGGTATATTTATCATGTACTGATTTATGAGAAATGGTAAAAATAAAAACACTGTATTGGCCAATGATTCCTACTGTGCCAATATAAACCCCTTGCTGACAGTTTTACTGAATATACATTAAACAACTTAAAGGGCTTTATAGACATGGTATATATAATATTCATATCATTATTCTCAATCATGCTTAGAAATCATTTCAACTTGAAAATATTAGCCAAGGGAGTTATGTACTACAGTTCTTTTTTGGGTTGTTTGTTTTAGAGAAAGATTTACTTTTCATTTTATGAAATTTTATCATGTACATTACCTATTAAAATATTTTCTTGTAGAGAGGAAGAAAACATGTTCCAAAATTCTGCATAATCTCACCTTCCCACAAATATTCCATAGGCTTTTAAAACTACAAATATAATATCTATCTTCATACTCTACCATAACTTGCTTTTTAAAACTTTATATATAATGAACTCCTTTCTAGTTAATAAAGAGCTACCTGTTCTTTTTTTTTCTTTTTCACAATCTCAATATATATATATTTTTAAAACTTTTTGTGATTTAGGTGAAAGTTTACAGAGCAAATCAGTTTTCCATTCAGTAACTCATACACATTCTGTTTCATGCCACTGACTGCAATCCTCACAATGTAACAGCACTTAGCCCATTTTCACCTTGGGCCTCCTGTTTCCCTCTGTCCTTTTTCTTATCCTTTCTTGCCTTTTGAACTTTGTCCCTGGGTAATCGCTGCCCTTTTGATCTCGAATGGTTGAGTGTTCTATACTACAGCTCTTTAGCAGTGAATTTACTCACACTAAAATAAAAATCAGTCTACCAAGTAGGCTTTTTAAAAGAAGAAGTTATAAATAATTCAGGAGCTTATTTATTAATGATTTGTATTTTAAAATTTATATTTTGTTCTCATAGGTAATAGCTATGTATGGAGGTATTATAACTCTTAGGACACAAGAACTTTACTTGTTAAATTAGAAGTAATTTCAATGCAGCTGTTAATTGTTACCCACTGTTTTGAAAGAATTAAAAAGTCTATAACTGGTAAAGGAGCTCTGGTAGCATAGTGGCTAAAGCACTTGACTGCTAATCAGAAGGCTGGTGGGTTTGAACCACCAGCCACTCCTCGGAAGGAAGGTTGGGCAATCCTACTTCCATAGTGATGCTGCCTCGGAAACCCAAGGAGGGGTCGCTATGAGTCGGGGCCCGGCTCGACGGCACATAACAACAACAACATAACTGGTAAGCAATTTATTTGTAAGGGAAACTATTCTTTCTCTTTCTGAGAGTTTCAAAGGCAGCTAAGCTCTCTAGAATGTTGGGTATAACCAACCCTTCCAGAAGTTTGAGTGATGGGTAATAGGACCTGTCCAGACTAGGGCTCTGTAGGCATAGAAATGAAGAAGGATGGCCTTGAGAAGCTGACCTAGCGAGGATGCCTGTTCCCAGATCAGAAGGTTCTACTGCTTTTTATTTAGGTCCTTACCTGCTGGAAAATCATGAAGAACAACAGCATGAGGAGCACTACTGTCAACAGGCTTCTGAGAGTGGCTTGGATCCTTAGGGGGGAAACATGGCTGTGAATGAAGTGTACAGGATGGATGCTGGATTTATCATTCACTCTGAGACCAGTTTCTTTCATTAAAGTCCTCTTGACACAAGTACATTATCAGTACAAGATGCAAACCACACAACTGAGCCAAAGAAGGGAATCATCATGAAGTTGAGAAGGAAGGTGTCCTTGCCAAGGAAGGACAGAAATAACTCTTAATTATCAACACTCTCAGCATGGTTTTTGTGTTTGTTTGTTAAACAGAGAGTAAAAGAAAAGGGACTTGCCTATTCCAGCCCCCACCCTCAACAGTACTGGGTCTACTTTGAAGCAGTGGTTTTTGACCTCTTTTCATTTCAAAGGTGGCTTTTTCCTTAAACTAGGACTAGGACTAAGGCATTCTGGTGGTGCTGTGGTTAAGGCATTCAGCTGCTAACCAAAAGGTTCGAACCCACCAGATACTCCACGGGAGAAACATGAGGCAGTCTGCTTCTGTAAAGATTTATAGTCTTGTAAATTCCACTGTAAGTTGGAATTGACTTGATGGCAGTGGGTTTGGTTTTTTTGGTTTGAGACCAGGACTAAACCTGGAAGACAGAGCCTTAAGAGTTGTGTCTTTGTTAGGATGGGAAAAGAATAAAGTTTTGTGATTTATGTTCTTGCCTTTCATAATAAAAGGAGCTAATGAGTTTCCATAAAAGTATGATTCACAATAAGTAAAATCCATTTCATTTATTACTACATAACTGAATGTCTTTTCTAATTTGAAAGCAATGCTACTTCCCATGCCTAACTTGAGTTTTCTATTTAATATGAATCGTTTATTCAGTGATAATTTTAAGTAAATTAGCAAAGAGAATTCAATATTCTCTACCCATCCAGCCAATTGTCTAGATTGGCTAGAAGGAAGGGTATATTTGAAAAGTGACCCTTTCTTACTGAAGCCAGTGGTTATTCTTAGTTTCTTGTATGAAGGGACAGACTTATCCACACCACCATCATCATCAAATATAACTAAAGAATAGTATTATTTGGAGTAACAACTCTTCAACACTGATAAACCTGTGAAATAAATGGAGGCAGATTTTTTGTGCCCCTTCATGTCTCTTCATCTCCTTCAATGTCCCTTTAGGCATCTAACACTTCTATTACTCCATCCCCTGCCCTGGCCATGATGCACCCTCCTTCTCAGAACCCACTATGGGTGATGGTCCACTTTATTGTTTCCACCTGCAGTACCTTTGCTCAGGATGTTTTCTGAATCTCACCAGCTCTTTCAAGCAAAATGCACCTATGGGGGGCACACTACATTCCTTCAAGTTAGGTGAGCTGACATACTCATTTTCATCAAAAAAGTAATAGCTGATAGTGTCTAATTATATCAGCATACCAAGTGTTATGGATTGAATTGTGTCCCCCCACCCCCCAGATATGTAGTAGAGGTCAGTGAAAAGGGGAAGACCCTCAATGAGATGGGCTGACACAGTGGCTGCAATGATGGGCTCAGGTATAGCAAGGACTGTGAGGACGGCACAGGGCCGGACAGTGTTTCATTCTGTTGTACACAGGGTCTCTGTGAGTTAGAGCTGACTTGATGGCACCTAACAACAAAAGATATGTTGAAGTCCTAGCCCCTGTACCTGTGAATGTGACCTTGTTTAGGGGAATAGGGTTTTTCTTTGAAGGTATTATCAGTGACATTAATGAGGTCACACCAGAGTAGGGTTACTCCTAATCCTAGATGACCAGTGTTTTATAAAAGGAGAGAAGAGACATAGAAATAGGGTCACATAGGGGGAAGAACCATGTGAAAATACATTTCTAAGTCAAGGAATACCAAGAGATGCCTGGGGCTACCAGAGGCAGGAGGAGTAAGGGAAGATCTTCCCCTAGAGTGGACAGAGAACATGGCCCTGTCCATGGGCTCTGCTGTGGTACTTCTAGCCTCCAGAACTGTGAGAAAATACATTTCTGTTCTTTAGAGCGACCCACTTCATAGTATTTTGTTATGGCAGTCCTGGGAAACTAAGACATCAAGCTAACACAGGCATTTTCTTAGAGGTTGGTTAGTATTTTTCCCTAAATAAATGAGCCATATGGGAATTTTAGGAATTATGGAAAGGGATTATAAGATACTTATATAAATGATTATTTATATCATGTATAATACATGTGTAGGTGGGTTTTTTTTTCCTGATTTACTCATTTGTGAAGCAAGAATGACTATCTAATATATGATATTAGGATAGATAGCTATCCACTTGGGAGAAAATGAAGTCAGAGACCTATCTCACACCAAACACAAACATGAATTTCAGATAGATTAAAGATCTAAGCATAATCAAAAAGGACGGGGGATGACGATTTGTGTCTCCATTATACAGTTTCCCTTCTCCATCTTTAAGTATAGATACCCCTGGCCATGATGCTTCTCAGCCTGGCTTAGCAGATAAGGGCGAGAGGGACAGGTTACACAGGCTTGTCCACCAGGGGTCAGTACAACTCAATCCACATCATCAGGGTGGCTATGTGGTAGGGACATCTAATTTATTTCAAACCTCTTTCCACTATGACTATAAATTGCTAATACAAATGAGTAATAATAATAACAGCTGGTATTTACTGTTCATTTGCTATGTGTGACCATATCTGCATTAGTTCATTTAATTTTTTAAACATCTTATTTGGATATAATTTACATACCATAAAATATACTCATTTAAAGTATATAATTCAATGGTTTTAGTTTATTCACAGAGTTGTGACACCATCAACACAACCTAAGTTTAGAACATTTTTAACATCCCAAAGGAAACCTTGTACCTATCAGCAGTCATCCCCCATTCCTCGCTCTAGGCAACCACTAGTGTACTTTCTATGTCTATGGATTTTCATATCTGGACTTTTCACATAAATAGAATCATACAATGTATCACTTAATTCTAAAAACAACTCTGTGAGAAATTATCCTATCTACTCTACACATTAAACAAACGAAATTTAAAAATGTGATATATACATACAATAGACATGAAGTCCTGATACATGTTATAACATGGATGAGCCTCAAAAACATTATGCTAAGAAAAGTAAGCCAATCACAAAAGGATGAATATTTTATGATCTTACTTATATGAGATATCGAAATAGGAAAATGTAGAGACCAAAGTTTATTCGTGGTTATCAGGGGCATAGGGAGGAAGAGAGGGGAAGTCATTAATTAGGAGGAGGTGATAAATTATTGTTTGTGGTGACAGACAATCTGACATTGATTATTGGTGATAGTTGGCACATGATTAACCTAATTCATGCCACAAAATTATTGAATTGGCAAATGTTATTTTTTATATATATATATATATATATATATATATATATATGTAAAATTTTTCTTTATTGTGATTTGGGTGAAAGTTTACAGAGCAAATTCACTTTCCATACAGCAGCTCACATACACTATCTCATGACACTGACTACAATTTACCACAATGCAACAGCTCCCCTCCCACTTCCTCCCAATAGTTACCTCTTCCCTGTGTCCATCCCTCCATGCACTCCTGCCCCCTCAGCTATCTCCCTGTGCATACACAACCCTTCTTTCTCCCATGATTGTTCTCTCCAAGGAGTATATCTACCTCAGGTAAATGTTCAATTTATATGCCTGTCTTTTGTTTGGCTGGAAGCCACAGGTGTGGGTTCAATTCCAGACCTGAAGGGCAGCTAGGGGGCATAATCTCAGTGGTTCCACCTGGCTCTATCAGACCAGTAAACTTGGTCCCTTTTTTTAAAAAAATATTCTATATATTTTTACCACCCCAAAAGAAAGTTTAGAGAGGTTAAGGAACTACTTAAGGTGGTAGAAGAGGAATTCAAAGCCAGCTCTGTGACACCTGTTGGTGCTCTTCACCACGCATGAGACAACAACCTCCCTCTTTGCCCATTAGCTGACAAATGCAACCTCAACTGATAATGTTTGATAGTCTCTGTTTGCTAAGGTAAGGGAAAGCATAACACATTTTTAGAAATATTTACCTTAAAACTAGCTTTCAAACTAGCTTGTGTGGTACAAACATTAGGTTGCTAACCCAATGGTTGGCAGTTCAAACAACCCAGTGGTGCCATGGAAGCTGGTGAATGGCTTCCATAAAGATTATAGCCAAGAAAACCCTATGGAACAGTTCTACTTTGTCACATATAGTGTCACCATGAGTCAGAGGCCAACACAACAACAAATGCCTTGTATGATGCAACTGCGAATCAAAACAAACAAAACCTAAGCTTTGAAATAAGTAAGTTTCATTTTTTTCTAAACATAATTAATAGCCATCAGCCCAGATGCCTAATAGAGGCTTAATTTCACTATTATCAGTAGTTGGCCAACTCTCTGGTGGCATAGTGCCTAAGGCATTTGACTGCTAACCAGAAGGCTGGCTGGCGGTTCAAACCCACCAGCCACTCCATGGAAGGAAGATTGGGCAATCTACTTCCACAGTGACACTGCCTCGGAAACCCAAGGAGGAGTCGCTATGAGTAGGATCTGACTCGACGGCAGTGAGTTTTTTGAGTTCTGCAAGTTGATAGTACAAGATAAGAAAGGTAATGTTTAAAGTGGAAAAAACTTTGGATTGTTGTAAAAGTGTAACTTCTCACTTCTTTTTAGTTTCTATCTTCTGAAAAGGAAAGCTTTTGGGCAGTATACCTCCCATTGTTACCCACCAGTATGTTTTGAGAGAGGAAGGACAGCTATGACAGATGGATAATACTGTAACAAATGCTTTGTATGATGCAACTGGGATTTAAATATTCACTCATTTTACAGAGACAATGAGTAAACGAAAAAATTTCTCTCTATGAACTCAAGGTAGAATTTTCAGTATCCCAGCTGTAACTAGCTCAATAATATATGTATTGTTAAGAGGTCTCTGTTCTCCAAAATACTAATTTTCAGTTTCTTAGCTAACTTCAGGAGCTCTGGGAGCATAGTGCCTAAGACACTTGACTGTTAACCAGAAGGCTGGTGTTTCAAACCCACCAGCCACTCTCGGAAGGAAGGTTGGGCAATCTACTTCCGTAGTGATACTGCCTCGGAAACCCAAGGAGTGGTCGCTATGAGTCAGGGCCGACTTGATGGCACATAACAACAACAACAACAGCTAACTTCAAAGATAAACTGCCTTCTAAGAAGAAAGAATTAGACTATATTATGAAAACTAGGATGAATGGCAAATCAGATTATTTCATGTGGGTTAAATGATGGATGGGTGGGTATTATTTTTTGTGTTTGCTATATTAACTGATAACTGATGGGAGCTCTGGTAGCATAGTGCCTAAGGCACTTGACTTCTAACCAGGAGGCTAGCAGTTCAAACCCACCAGCCACTCCTCAGAAAGAAGATAGGGCAATCTACTTCTGTAGTGATACTGCCTCAGAAACCCAAGGAGGGGTTGCTATGAGTCGGGTCTGACTCAACAGCACATAACAACAACACAACAACAATATATTAACTGATAGGAACTCTGGTGGCATAGTGCCTAAGGCACTTGACTGCTAACCAGAAGGTTGGTGGTTCGAACCCAGCAGCCACTCCTTAGATGGAAGATTGGGCAAGCTACTTCTGTAGAGACACTGCTTCGGAAACACAAGGAGGGGTCACTATGAGTCGGAGACTACTCAATGGCACCTAACAACAACAACAACATATTAACTGATAGTGAACATTTAACTTAAGAAGTTCTTTTAAAAATACATCTCTATAAATTTCTCAATGGTATTTTCCTTGCAAAAGAAATGATCTTACATAATCATTGAATTCTCCAAAGATCCACAAATTTGTTAGGCTCAAATTGTGACATGCATTTGTTGGATTACATTTTATTTTTTTTATGAGCTGTAATCAGAGAAATTAAGTTTATACTTAATTTAAATCGTAAAAGGATGCACTTTTATGTCAGACTTCACAATTATAGCTCTCTCTTTTAAAATAATTATCCATTCTGCTAGAAAACTAATCTCTGGCACTTTGGTAAATATGTTTACATTATTTAAAAAATAAATAGATCTCCCAATTGAAAATTAATGACCGAGTGGTTGCTTCTAGTCAGCATGATATGAAGAAGGCAACACAAAGGACAGTCACTGTGTAAAAAAGTATGGTAGTGGCAAGTCTTTTAGAAGTAATGTATTCTCAGAATAAAATGCACTGGTAATTTTTACTCTGGTTAAAATAAACGTGCCAATAAAAACCTGAGGATGAGATATAATTAATAGTTCTATGAAATGTGCTGCCATGTATGATCTGAGGGCCGTACAATATTAATTCCTTACTATTGGTTGGTTTCGAAGATGTTCATCAAGTGGGGTGATAATCTTCAGCCGGGACAGGTGAACTCTGCCAGTGTCTTCTCCCTTTTGGCATTCCAAGTAATTATTTCCAGTCTGCTTCAGCGTTACAAGGACGTCCCCACCCTGTAAGGTACATACAATACCACTCCATGAAGCAATTATTATTTAATAAAACATTATTACTTTTTTTTTCTTCACATTTTAATCTTTGGAGCCTAAAGCATTTAATAATGTGTAATAGAAGGAAGAGAGGCAGCAATTTTTTACATCAATTAGTAAAGAAAGAGACCTACTTTACCTTACAAGAGAGTTCTCTGGGGTTTTCTGAGGCAATGTCTTCACTGGCAATTCCATGAGGCACGGGCAGCTTAAATGTAAACCAATGAAAGGATTATTCACAATCAAATAACTCCAATCAAATAAATTGCTGATCATTTGGGGATTTGCCACATATGCCTAAAGTGCAACTCTTCCAGCAGCTAAACTCTATTGGGTTTCCTTATGTTCTATAGCTAGCAGGCCTGCCATTTTGCATGGATACTAAAACTCATGGATACGAGGGCTGAATGGGGCATTAAGTTCCCCTCTGCAACCACAATTGGGATGTTCCATCCTATAGTGCATGCAGGGCTCATCCAGTTCCCCGGGCATCCAAAGGATAAATGTTTAGCACCTGACTTCAGTCTGTCATGGTACATCTTTCATACAGGGCCCTTGACTGCTGCTTTTGAAGGCTGACAGGAGACTGAAACCCTCTCTGTAGTGCTTGACATACTGCTCCTCTTGCCTTGAATTGTATCTTCTCCTGAGTCTCTCTGATACCAAGCATCTAATTAAACCCCTGAGCCCTGTCACTTCTTGGCTCACTCACCTCAGTCTGACCCTAGAATGTTTTTCTATATCTGTACCCTGTTCTGGCCAGGTGGCTCAGTTCCCTGCCTTGGTTGGTTTTAGCTGATTCATGCAGGTCAGAAGATCTGGGTATAAGAGGCATACCCAGGAAACGTGATCACATAAGCTCATTCCCAACAAGGAAAAGGAGGCTGCCTGGGCCAAAGATTACCCAGGAACACAGCTGTGGCATAGAGGGTGTGTCCACTTAAGTAAGGCTGGGTTGGGGGTGCTGCTTCTCAGAATCTCAATCACAGTTCCAAGGCTCTCACTGTACTCAGGTTTGGGGCTACGTTTACTTATTTGAGGCTTGCAATTTACTGGTCAGGTTGAGTGCCACTGAATCAATTTTCAACTCATAGCAACCCCATGTGACAGAGTTGAGCTTCCCCATAGAATTTTCTAGGCTTCAGTCTTTATGGGAGCAGATTGTTAGTCAAGTCTTTCTCCCATGGAGCCACTGGGTGAGTTTGAACCACCAACATTTAGGTTACTAGCTGAGTGCGTACCCATTGCACCACGAGGGCTCCTTAGTGATAAGTAGTCATGGAAAAAATGAGGGATTTAAAGAATTATTTTATAAAGAGACAAACCAGAAAACCAAATTCACTGCCATTGAGTCTATCTGACTCATAGCGACCCCTCCTTGGGTTTCTGAGGCAGTATCACTAGGGAAGTAGATCGCCCCATCTTCCTTCCGAGGAGTGGCTGGTAGGTTTGAACCGCCAGCCTTCTGGTTAGCAGTCAAATGTCTTAGGTACTACGCTACCAGAGCTCCCTATAGCTCCTCAGAAGGAAGACTGGGCAATCTACTTCCGTAGAGATATGGCCTCGGAAACCCAAGGAGGGGTCACTATGAGTTGGAATTGACTAGACAGCAGTGAGTTTTTTTTAATAAAGAGACATACCACTTGAAATGCACCGTCGTTTTATTAATTTCTTAAATGCTTTATTGATGTTATATAGCTATGCTAAGAACTGGCAATGAAATCTGCTCCCCCTGAACGTAGCTCTGAACATGGTGCCTGCTTATCATCGGTATACAATACGCATCTGCTGCTGTTTTAATTTTGTAAGTTATCTATCCTAGAAAGGACCCTTGCATATTAGCATTGAAACTTTATCTGTTTAAATGAATATGAGTATACATGAATATGCTACCTCCTTCTTATTTGTCCATACCCTGTGTTATGGATTGAATAACTGTGTCCCCCAAAAGCATGTGTTATAAATCCTAACCTGTATGCCTGTGGTTAGAATCCCACTTGGGAATGGTTGTCTTTGTTATGTTAATGAACAGGATCTCTTTTGAGATATAAAAGAGATTAAACAAGCAAGCCAACAAGCAGAGATGGGAGAGGACAGACTCCATACCACATGAAGATCACCACGGAGCCAAGGAGTAAGGACCTTCCCCAGGGCCAACAGAAAGAAAACCTTCCCTAGAGCTGGCACCCTGCATTTGGACTTCTAGCCTCCTAACTGTGAGAAAATAAATGTCTGTTTGTCAAAGCCACCCATTTGTGGTTCTGTTACAGCAGCATTAGATAACTAATACAGCCTACTCCAAGGAAGAGTTAAACAAACAAACAAACAAAAACAAACAAACAAACAAAAAACCTAAATGGTTTAAGGTGAAAACAATTTCTGAGGCCAATCACAGAATGTAGAACAATATAAAATTATTAAGTGCAACTCCTGTTAAGAACTACTTTGCCATATAATTATTTAAAAAGTATAAACAGACCTGTCTTGCTTATCACTTTTATTTGTTCTAGATTTTACCAGGTTAACCTAACTGAAGTAGAGAACATGTGAACTCTATTTTTCAAATGTGGGAAATGGAGACAAAGATTTAAGGTCATACGATGAGTAAAACATTCAAGGAGAACAAAATTAGTATTTCAACTATCTCAATTACTGATGAAAAGTACTAAATGGTAACTATTAAATGGACTATGATAATTAGGTTCAAGAAAGGGAAAAATGAGGAAAAACATCCATCATATAAAGAACTTCCTACTTCACTTTAAATTTTACTCAGTGGCAAGGTAGCAATAGTAAACTTTAACACCTATCAGAGTTACTCCCATTAGTATAATCTAGGATCAGATATTTCAGTTTCCGTTTGGTCAAGCCAGAGAGCTGGGTACAATGCCCGTCTGCCCTGCTTCCCTTCCCTGTATTTCTCCTAATAATAAAATACTACATTAAAGACATAGGTTTGGTTATGGCTTACTTATCTAACATACCCTTAGGATAAGATTTTGTCACTAAAGTAACAATTCTGTATTTGTTTCATCATCTGTCTCTAAGTTACAGTGGCATCTTGTATACACTTTAGGATAAAACTCTAGACTATGAACATCTTTAAAGCTAAACTTACCATGTATTTTCTGTAGAGAGGGTGTCCTGGTTTGGGGCGAGGGGGTAGCACCGGATCATGATTTTTAATGACTTGACTCTTGGCTTTTGAGAGTCCAGATGTCAAGTTACTTTGTTTTTTCTGAAGATCCATGTCAGAAGAGGACCGATTAAAAGGCAGTTTTTTACATGATGTTCTGGTTGCAGAAAGTTTTGGGGGAGGTGGTCTCTCAGGGGCCCCCTTGGGAGGAGGCTGTCGAACTGGTATTACTTTTCCATTTATAGGTCTGAAAGTCAATGTGGGAGTCATGAGTCCATTTTGACAAGTATAAGGCTCTGTCCTTTCTTACACCAACAGACACACACACATACACTCAGCTTTCTGCTTGTGGGACACAATTTACTGAAATATGCAGAACCCACCCACTGCCATCAAGTTGGTTCCAACTAGTAGTGACCCCCATTGGATTTCCAATGCTGTAAATCTTTATGGAATTATTGTCTCATCTTCCTCCCCTGCAATAGCTGGTGGGTTTGAACTGCTGACCTTCTGGTTAGCAGCCAAATACCTTACCCACTATGCCACCAGAGCTCTTTGAAACATGCCGAGTATATACTATTTTTGAGCAGATGATGGGAGCTCTGGTGGTGTAGTGCCTAAGGCATTTGACTGCTAACCAGAAGGCTGGCGGTTCAAACCCACCAGCCATTCCTCGGAAGGAAAGTTTGGCAATCTACTTCCGTAGTGATTCGGAAACCCAAGGAGGGGTTGCTATGACTTGGATCTGACTTAATGACAGTGAGTTTGGTTTTTGAGCAGATGACTAATGCATTAAACATTATACTATTAGAAGAAATGCCATGATGTTTTAGCTTCTTCTTATCTTGCGCTAGAGATTCATTAGCTTAAGACAAACAAGCATTTACTATCATGAGTTCTCTAAGGTCTCATTTGCTCTTAAACACACCATGACTACTTCAGGAAACTAAGCACTTTCTACCAAGTCTGAAATGAAAATCTTATGAGACATAGGTATATATGTCTTATACATGATTAGAAAAGGAACATCAAAATCCCCTAATATTCATATTATAGAAATGACTATTAAAACCTTAATTTAGATTAATATAAAGAAAGCTGGTTCTGAAAATGGAATAGCACAACTCTTACTTTGAAAGCCTTTCCCTTATTCCTATGATTAAAATAAGGTACAACATAGTAACTACTTCTGACAGCATCACAGCCTTTTGTTCCAATAACTCAGGAACTTAGAAGGGCAGGTCACCTCTGAGCTCCCTGTCTCCCTTTGGTAATGCCCAAACCAGGCTGGTCTCTCACAGTGGGGAGGGTAGGTGCATGTGTGCATGAGCGTGTGTGTGCATGCGTGCATGTGTGTGTGTGCACGTGTACATGTGTATGTGTATGCAGCTATCCAGAAGTGGAGTTGTTCTAATTCTGGGATTGAATCCTACTGGTTTGTTTTAGGAAAACTAATATAGATGCATCCCTGGGTGGTTGTTGTTGTTATGTGCTGTAGAGTCAGACCCGACTCATAGCGACCTCTCCTGGGGTTTCCGAGGCAGTATCACTATGGAAGTAGATTGCCCAACCTTTCTTCCGAGGAGTGGCTGGTGGGTTTGAACCACCAGCCTTCTGGTTAGCAGTCAAGTGCCTTAGATGCTACCAGAGCTCCCCCCGGGTGGTACAAATGATTAATATGCTCAGGTGCTAACCAAAAGGTTGGAGGATCAAGTTCACCCACAGATGCCTCAGACGAAAGGCCCTGTAATCTACTTCGGAAAAATCAGCCACTGAAAACTCTATGGAGCACCTCGTATTCGGACAGACCTGGGTCACCATGAGTTGGAATCGACTTGGCGACAGCTGGAATATAGATCCATGTTTGTGCTCTGTGAGTTTCTGGTCTGGATTAAAAGAGAAAAAGAGTAGAGATTCCTACAACCTGCTGGGCAAGTGGCTTGGGTAAATTTGTCAGTTTAATATATCTCACATATGTCTAGAAGAAGATCGAAGGCCAAAACTTAGGCTTGGTGAGAGAAAAAAGAGTCAGGTCTCAGAAACATCATTCATTTCTTTAAGTTCCACTAACTTACTTACCTTGGTGGCAACCTTGGGGGTCCTCGCACAGAACCTCCTGCTTGACCAGCATGATCTGATTCCTGCAAATATTGACCCAAGTTTTTTAGTTAAGGTTACTCTAAACAACGGCTTGTCAAGATACATTTTGGACAACTTTTTGACTGAATCTACCAATGGAAATGTAGCGGGGTTATAGACAGTAGTTAGAAGAGTTTTTGGTCTTAAACAATAATAACTCATTACTTGTTCCCACCTAAATTATCTACAAATGAAATAATGAAAAAAACATTGAGAGAAAGAGGCCAAGAGGTCTGCTATGGACCACAGTCCTTCATGGTTATGCACCTAGAGGATTCATAAGGTACTAATTCATAAGGATGATGTTTAAATTATGCTAAATTACACAGCAGTAATTTAAGCAGATACTGTAAGGAATTAAAAGAAAAAAAAGAAAAAGACATGGCTTTTATTCACCCCATGATAACACATAAGACATGTGCTGCTCCTTAGTATAAAACATATTAAAGTGAGGTACCTATTAATTTGTTTTGTGTTAAACAGACAGATCTTATCACTGGATGGTTGTTTATATATTGTTTTAAACTGACATACCCAAAACCAAAAACCCACTGCTACGGAGTCAATCTGACTTATAATGATCCTATAGAATATAGCAGAACTGCCCATAGGATTTCCAAGGCTGTAAAACTTTTTTTTTTTTTTAAATAATATTTTACTGAGTTTTTGTTGAAAGTTTACACAAGTTATGTTCCTATTTGACAGCTTCCACACAAATTGTTCAGTGATGTTGTTGTTGTTATGTGCCATCGACTTGGACTTGACTAATAGTGACCCCTCCCCTTCGGTTTCTGAGGCAGTATCACTATGGAAGTAGATTTCCCAACCTTCCTTCTGAGGAGTGGCTAGTGGGTTTGAACCAACAGTGTTCTGGTTAGCAGACATTAGTTACATTTATTACAATGTGTCAACATTCTCTTTGTGTTGTTTGTTCCCTTTCTAGTAGTCTAGTTTCCCTACCACCTATCTTATCTTTGCTTTTGAGTAATTATTGACCTTTTAGAGTCATACTGGTGGTTTTTAAGTAGGGCACCCATCCTTCAGGTAATATATTTTTATTTTTTGTGTGTGGTAGTAAAATTAGTATGTCAACTTGGCTGGGCCTGGTTGAGTGGCTGGGCAGCTGGTGGTAGTTATTCCCCATGATGAGACTGGCAATCAACTCCATGGTGGGATCTACCACAAGCAGCTGAATAGCTGCTTTTGGGTTTTGGTCTGCTTCCTGTATATAAGGAGAAGCCTTGGGGATAGTCTCTAGCTTATGGCACACTTGGACCCTGCATGTAGTTGTGTCATTGTTCAGCAGCCTGCCATGTTCTGCTGACGTTGGGACTTACAATGGACTTTAACTAATGGCCGGCCGTGTGGTTTGGTAACATCGGGACTGTGCCTTTTTATTTGTCGACCTTGGGCTTGTTAGTCTCAGCAGCCAGTAGATGCCTGATTGAAGAGATGCCTTGAGCTTCAGTGGGCTGGGTGCAAGAGGCAGAGCTTAAGCCCAAGGTTGAGGGGCTTTCACACAGCCCTTAGGACCTGGCACTTTGAACTTGGACTTAAAGCCTCCAAATAAGAATAAACTCCTGTTTGTTAAGGCTATCCCATTTGTGGTATATTCTTGTCAGAGCGGCACTAGGTAACCAGAATAGTGTGCCACTCTGCTATTTTGCCAAAAGGTAATCTCAGGGGATAGGCTTGGTTCTAGGTTTAATGAATGTTGCAGGGCGATAGTCTCAGGAGGTCCTCTGTTCTCTATTGTTCCAGTTTGTCTGGACTTTTATTTCTTTCACAAGGATTTAAGTTGTGTTCCACATTTTTCTCCCATTCTGTCTGGGACCAACTATTGTGACCCAGTCAGAATGCTCAGTGGTGGGAGCCTCGTACCATCTAGTTCTGGTCTCAAGGTAGATGAAGTTGTGGCTTGTGTAGTCTTGTTTCTTCTCTGAGATTTTGGTTATGTTTCTGCTGTTTTGCTCCTGGTGAGTAGAGATCCATAGCTGTGTCTCAGATGGCCATCTGCAAGCTTTTAAGACCCCAGATGCTACTCACTCCACTAGGATGCAGATTCATAATTTTTGCAAACTTTGTTATGTCAATTGACTGAATTGTCCCATGAGACTATGGTCCTAAAGGGCTATAAATCTTTATGGAAGTAGCCTGTTACATCTTCCTCCCACAGAGCCACAGTTAGTTTCAAACTGCCAACTTTGAGGTTAGCAACCAAGCGCTTTAATCACTGTGCCACCAGGGCTCCTTGAACTGACATCCAAGGAATAATATTTCTTCAAGACCTCATAAAGTGGTACACTAAGGAAGCTTAAGGAAGAGCCTGAAAGGAAGGCATGTGTTATAGGTTGAATTGTGTACCCAGAAAGAGATGTTGAAGTCCTAACCCTTGTAACTGTGAAAGTGGTGTAAGGTCATTCCAGAGTAGGGTGAGCGTTAACCCAATATGAGTTGTGAGCTTATCAAAGAGAAGAGGCAAAGAAGCAAAGGTACAATGGCAACTGTGAAGATGCATCTACAAACCAAAGAATTCCTGGGGCTACCAAAAGCTGAGAGAGACAAGGAAGGATCCTCCCTTAGAGGCTTTGGAGGGGTGGTACAAATGATTTGCCCTTTACTACTAACCTAAAAGTTGGTGGTTCAAGACCACCAGCAGCTCCATGGAAGAAAGGCCTGGAGATCTGCTTCCATAAAGACTGTTGTTGTTAGGTGCTGTCAAGTCAACTCCAACCCATGATGACCATGTGTGCAGAGAAGAACTGCTTCATAAGGTTTTCAAGGCTGTGACTTTTTGGATGCAGATTGCCAAACCTGTCTTCCATGGAACCTCTGGGTGGGTTTGAACTACCAGTCTTTTTCAGTAGTGTATGCTTAACCATAATAGCCAAGAAAACCCTATGGAGCAGAGGTTGCCTTGGATCAGAACGGACTGGATGACAATGGGTTTGGTTTGGTATGGCTGCAACAATGGGCTCAAACACAGTAATGATTGTGCGAATGGTACAGGACCAGGGCACTTTTCCTCTTGTTTTACACAAGGTCAATATGAATTGGAGCTGACTCTACAGCACCTAACAGTGATGTGGCCCAGATGATATGTTGATTTTGGACTTCCAGCTTTAGAACTGTGATACAATAGGTTTCTATTCTTGCAAGCCACCCCGTTTGTGGTATTATATTGAGGAAGCCCTAGGAAAGTAATATGGCATGTGAGGGGAAATAAAAAAGGCCCAAGAAAGAAGAGAAGCTTGTATCTTTACATCAAAGGGATTAGATCAGCTGGGAAGAAGAGTTTTGTAGGAAAGAATAAAGAGAGGAGTATAATGTGAAAGTGGAAGCAAGACTGCGCAATCTACTTCCGTAAAGATTTTACTGCCTCAGAAACCCAATGGGGGTCACTATGAATTGGAATCGACTTGATGGCAATGGGTTTGGTTTTTTATAATGTGAAAAGTGAAAGGTAGGGAGAGTTGGAAGAGGAGACTAGAGAAATTGGAAGTATAGAGATCAATAGGAAGAGTTCTCTAGGGGAAAGGATTCTAATTAAGCTATTTAAATAAGTATCATACATGGAAAGCATTTTCAGATCTTCAGTTCAGTGGGAAGTTAAAAGATTTAAAGCTGAAACTTTTGGGGTTTCTTTGGGAAAAAGTCTTCATTAAATTCTTCCAATTCTGATAGAATCTCCTTCTCTGCTTACCTTCCCCGTTTTTTTCAGTTCCCAAAACTGACACCAAGGGAATAGCATTTCTTCAAGAATTCTTAAGGAGAATAAATGCTGTTGTTGTTGTTGTTAAGTGCCGTTGAGTCGTTTCCGACTCATAGCGACCCCATGCACAGCAGAACGAAACACTGCCTGATCCCGCGCCAG